GTGAGTGAGTTGACAGGGTGTCTGTTTTCGAGTAAGACAGGTAGCCAGGTAAAAACATAACAAAAGTTTAATATATCTAAATCTTTGACTACAAGCTACACATGCATATATACCACTAAATCTACATGACTAAACAGTAGTACATTGCTCATGATAGGATTTCCCATCCTATCTTCATTTAGAGAGAGAGTGTACATATGGGCTAACAAAATACCTCTGAGAGAAAACTGTTGTCCTCTGTATCCCTGGAGGAATATAGAACATTTGGCTGGTAGTATGACTGGTAGTTCTTCTCTGTTCTGAGTATGGCTGCCTGATTAGGGTGAGACAGGAGACCTGTGTCACCTGCTTCTCTGGTGGAATCCACTCTGTACTACTTGGGATGTGTCTGCCTGGCTATGGTGTCTGGTGATGTCTGCCCTGTTGGATCTCGGAGGGATATCTGTCTGGGACTTAAGTTCTAGCCTCTTTTATACTCTCCAGTCTGGGAAAAACCCATCAGGTGATTGGATGTTTGGAGACGAAGTTGCAGGTGTGAGGTTAGAGGTTGCTGTCGATGATACTAACTAATAGTAAGATGACAGCCATAGTTTGTCATCTTTCTGTTCACCCTATTCATGTACTCTGTTTTTGTTCTGCTTTTTCTGTGTTAATATAACCAAGGGTTAAGTATTTATGCAGTGGCATATTTGACAAGATATTTCAGATTGACCCTACTGATTTTGAATTGTTCTGTTAATTAACTTTCAATTTGACTGAGTAGTCTATAAATAAGATAATAAAAGCAACAGGATTTGAAGAGGTTAGACAATAAATTTTACAGGCTGTCCATTTTCTATTGAAATATATTGTGTTAAATCAGCAAAAATAAATATATTTATACTGTATATGTTCATGTTAGCATATACATTACTACACTTATGGATTAAGTTAGAAATTTTATTATGTTCAAATTATTTTTGATGATATACAGTTGACCCCCCTATAAGATATAGATACGTTCCAATTTATTAGGAATCCGATTTCTTACAAGTCGTTCCAATCACAGCCCGACACGTGTCAAGTTTACGGACTACGGCTGATTGAAAGGTTTTCTTCCATAAAATTAATCGATTCTACACTAATCCGACTCAACATTTCCAAAATACGTATATTTTTTCGTAGTTTTATAGGAATC